TTTATTTAGCTGCTGAAAAAGTAATGTCCTAATAGGAAATGATAATGCTTTTTTTTTTTCTTTAAACCACTGGGAGGTCTTTTCAGGGTTTTTGTTTGTTTGTTATTTCTAATAGTTATAGTTCTATTTTAAGATGATACCTTCTGTCTACTTGTAAAATTTTAGGAACATTCTACCCTTAGTTATGATTCTAGGTATCTTTGACTCATACATGTAGGAGACATTTCCTGCTGCTGATGGAGGGTTGCTTAGGAGCAGCTGATGTATGTGCTTAGAGGATTTGTGTTAATGTCCAGTTATCATGCCAGTTGGTGCAGGACCTCAGACAGCATGATTAGAGTCCTGGTTCAGAAAGGAGATCTGCTATCCTACCAGGCTGATTGTAAGGGTTGGGAGAGCATTGACATAGATACTAGAAGAATTTTGCTGATGAAGAATTGTGTGTATATATGTGTGTATGTGTGAACTAATTAGAAGAAGGGCAGCTATTCTTCATTGTAGTTGACCTGTATAATTATCCTCTTTCCTTTTATGGATTATTCTTACTTCAGCATAGCATATTAATTGATAAAGTCTTTAAGATTCACTTTTTGAGTAGGTACTTACTGTACATCAGCTCTTGGCCTTGCACCATGTTAAGTGTTGGAGGATTCAAAGATGAATAAAGGGTTCACAATTACAATGAGAATAATAGTAAGCATGAAGCAGAGAAAATGATCTGGAAGCACAATGGTCAAAGAGCCTGCTTTGGTAGGGTTTAAGAAAGCATTACTAAAAGAAATTTGGTTCCCCTGTATGGTTTTAGGGAAACTGACAGGTACTGGTAAAATGAAATAACAATGAAAAGTAGCTCCTTTATTTTGGGAAGTCGAAGTTGCTATAATGGAATCAGGGTATCTGCATCACGCCTTCCTTATCACCAACCAGCTTCACTGTCCATTAGCCTATTGATCAATATAAAGCCTCCTCTGCCACCACAGTATTAAAGTAGAGGCTGTGTCTCTTGCTGGTCAAAACTTTTCACCTACTTTTTTATTCCTGAAGTTATAAACTTTCCTATATGGTTGATGTCATTCTGTATCTGAAGGCTTCTAATTCTCAGTTTAACATTTTTTGTTCCTGGTGATCTAGAGAGAGGGAAAAAAAAGAGGTGGTTCAAACTCTGTATTGACTACAAATAATCCTAATACCTTTTCTCTCAGAATCCTTGATCAGAATTTCTCTTCATCACCATTAACTTCTCACCTTGAGAATAGGTGATAGTGTTTATGTATATAAAGACAGTATATTTTGGTAAATAATTTTATAATTGGTCATCAGTTGTGGTCAACAGCCATGCCTAAGGAAAGCGTGTATAATGAAAACTATTTTTTATTTTACATCTTTTGTGTTATTTTTAAAGATAATTTATTTTAGTAGTTAAGATTTCATTGTAAAACATGCCACTGAGATTCTTTGAGATAAGATGCACTTGAAGTAATATTTATTTTTCTTAATTTTCAGGGAGTTTTTGGACTGTGAGCTATTTCAGAACTCTGTTCTCAGGACCCATTATTTTAACAGTCAGGAGAAACACATCCAGAAGGTATTGTATTTTGTCTGTTGCTCCATTTTTTAAAATGTAGTTATGCCTTTTCAATCATAGAAAGAAAATTATGTTGCATTTTGTTATTTATTTTTCTTTAAGTTTCAGATATTGATTAACTAGTTGATGTTTATAATGGAGGAGAGGGATATATTTCAATATGGGTAATTCAGAATTTTTTGTAAGTCAATAAAAGAAATCTGGTTTTGGGATCCCTGGGTGGCGCAGCGGTTTGGCGCCTGCCTTTGGCCCAGGGCGCGATCCTGGAGACCCAGGATCGAATCCCACATCAGGCAAGAAATCTGGTTTGGGGGGGTGGCTGGGTAGCTCAGTTGGTTAAGCATCTAGCTCTTGATTTTCACTCAGGTCATGATCTCAGGGTCATGAGATCAAGTCTTGCATCCCAGTAATGAGATTACTGGATCCTAAGGTAGGTAGTTCTATTTTTAACTTTTTGAAGAACCTCTGCACTGTTTTCCACAGAACCTAAGAGGTTCATTTTTCTCCATATCCTCTCCAACACTTGTTGCTTGTTGTGTTTTTGATTTTAGCCATTCTGACGAGTGTAAGGCAATATCCCATTGTAACTTGGGTTTGCATTTCCCTGACAATGAGTGATGACAAGCATCTTTTCATGTGTCTTTTGGCCATCAGGATGTCTTCTTTGGGGAAATGTCTGCTCATGTGTCCTGCCCATCTTTTATTGGATTATTGTTTTTTGGGTGTTGAGTTATATCGTTCTTTATATATTTTGGATACTAACCCTTTATCTCATATGTCATCTGCAAATATCTTTTCACATGATTCACTAGGTTGCCTTCTAGTTTTGTTGATCATTTCCTTCACTTTGCTAAAGCTTTTTGTTTTGATGTAGTCCCAATAGTTTATTTTTGCTTTTATTTCTCTTGCCTCAGGAGATGTGTCTAGTAAAATATTGCTATGGCCAATGTCAGAGACCTCATTGCCTGTGCTGTCTTCTAGGATTTTTATAGTTTCAAGTATCACATTTAGGTCTAATCTATTTTGAGTGCATTTTGTATGTGGTGGAAGAAAGTGGTCTAGTCCATTGTTTTGTATGTAGCTGTCCAGTTTTCTCAACACTATTTTTAAAGAGACTGTCTTTTTCCCACTGCATAATCTTGCCCCCTTTGTCAAGGATTAATTGACCCTATAATTGTGGGTTTATTTCTGGGCTCTCTGTTATGTTCCATTGATCTATGTGTCTATTTTTGTGCTAGTACCATACTCTTTTGATTACTATAGCTTTGTAATGTAACTTGAAGTCTGGAATTATACCTCCAGCTGTACTTTTCTTTTGCAAAATTGCTTTGGCTCTTTGGGATCTTTCGTATAAATTTTAGAATTTTTTTGTTCTAGTTCTGTGAAAAATGCCATTGGTATTTTGATAGGGATTGCATTAAATGTATATATTGTTTGAGGTAATATAGACATTTTAACAATATTCTTCTAATCCATGAGCATGGAAAGATATCTTTTTAAATCAAAGAATTTACTATGACAAGGAAATATTTGACGATACATTCAAATAGTTTATTAGTTATACAAAGGATTCTTAAACTTTTAAGGTCATTATGAATTCTCCATTTATGAAAGTTTATCATGTAATCTCAAAATTAAGAGTATGTTTGAATAAAGTTGAACTCGTTACTATTTTTGATTAAAAACTGCAAATTAAGTTTAGTTGTAGGATTAAGTAGACAGACTCTTATGTAAATTCAAAATAGGAATTGGTTTTAAGTAATTCTTTTGAAACTGACTCAAAATACTTAAGGCCCTTCAAAAAAAAGTTTCCTAAAGAAAACAAACTTTTTACCAAACCATAATTTCATGTAGTCAAACAGGCACTCTTACTTGCTAGTTCAGTGATTTTTCTTTTTCTTTCTTTCTTCTTCTTCTTTTTTTTTTTTTTTTTCCACACAGCATACCCAGCATAACTAACACTATCCCAGGAGGCTGTCTGTCTTAGGCAGTACTACTTCTGTTCAACAGAAACCAGTCTATGGCATTTTTTACTATGTGTTAGTTTTGCCTGTTTTTGAACTTTATACAATTAGAATCATATAATATGAACTCTTGTGTCTGAGTTTTTTGATCAACATTACGTCTCTGAGAGTCACCCATGTATTGTTTTTTTTTTATTTGTACCCCACCCCAATTGTCTGTATTCCTTTGTATGATTATACACCATTTATCCTTTCTACTATAAATGAATATTGGGAATCTTAACAATTTGGGGCTACAAATAAGATTGCCATGAATTTTTTTTTTATATCTTTCATATCATAAGCATTCATTTCTGATGAGTGTATGCACAGGAACGGAACTGCTGAATCATGGAGTATGTATATGTCTAACTATAGTATGATACATACTTGGAGTGCTTTTAAGGATATTTGTGAAATGTCAATTAGTGTATCTCTTCTTAATGATAGCTTATACTGTGATACAGACTAATTTTTATCTAACTTCATGTAAACTCTAAAATTGTTTTTTAGGAGGTATAAAATTTTACCATCTATTTAAAATAAGTTGCCTGTTTTCTGATGTCATCATGGTATGTATTTGATCTGTGAAACTTAGATCTGTCCTAACCCTACGGAAGGAAAGGAGAACATAAAACCATATATATATATATATATATATATGTATACCTACTACTGTGGAAATATTGAAAAAATGATTTTAAAATAAATTGGACATTTTGTACATGAAGCTTTTATTTTATTCTTGAATATTGGGATACCTCTGGAATATCTAAAATTATATACTCTTGAGTTACAAAAAACTTACTTTAGCATTTTTTTTTAATTTTTATTTATTTATGATAGTCACACAGAGAGAGAGAGAGAGAGGCAGAGACATAGGCAGAGGGAGAAGCAGGCTCCATGCACCGGGAGCCTGATGTGGGATTCGATCCCGGGTCTCCAGGATCGCGCCCTGGGCCAAAGGCAGGCGCTAAACCGCTGTGCCACCCAGGGATCCCTACTTTAGCATTTCTGATGAATCTTTCTTTCTACCTTTATCTGTGTTGTGTTAATCTTTTTGGTGAAGTGAAATTATGCATTTTAGAGCATAAGTACTTGAGAAATTTTATGTTAGATCTTCTTCTTAGTCTTTACTATAGAACAGTGCTGTTTATTCAATAAAAGTACAATGTAAAAAAAATAAATAAAAGTACAGTGTAATTTTAAATTGTCCAGTAAGCACATAAAAAAGGAAAAAGAAACTGATCAATTAATAAAATATTTTCTTTAACCCATTATCAGCAAAATATTATTTCATTGCATAATTAATATAAAATTGTGAGATATTTTACATTTTTCTCATAATAAGTTTTTAAAATTCAATGTATATTTTCACTTAGAGCACATCTCAATTCAAACTGGTCACCTTTCCTATACATTGTTAGAGCTTGGAATTGAGGCCACGGCCTGGCCAGTGAACTCAAGTGTAGGGTAGTGTTGTGTTACATGAGGGACAAGTCTGGCTAACACCACAAGGGTCTCTGGCCCAGTGAATGAGTTTGATAGTAATTCTTGCTGCAGGTGTGTGTGTAAATAAATATAAACACAAATACATAAACATTTAAAAAATAAAAATTTTAAAAAGACAGACTAGTCCCTTTTCAAATGCTCCATAGCCACATGTGTCTATAGGTTACCATATCTGACAGCACAGTTACAGAATTACATCTTGGTTTTAAAAGACAAGGCTTTAGTCAAATCCATGTCTAGCTAAAATTATCCTTTCCGGGCACCTGCCTGGGTGGTGCAGTGGGTTAAGCCTCCAACTCTGGGTTTCAACTCAGGTTGTTATCTCAGGCTTCTGAGATCGAGGCTCCCAGCCCCCCTCACCAGGCTCAATGCTCAGCACACAGTCTGCTTTTGATTCTCTCTGCCTCTCCCCTTTCTGCTCGTGCTCTCTCAAAAATAAATAAATCTTGAAAAAATTATCCTTTAAAATCCAATAGAAAGCTGCTGTGTCAAAAGCTAATATACCATCTTTCAGTATGTCTCAAACTGCCTGTTTTTCCTTCAGTGTTGGAATAAATGACATTTTCTTTGGTTGAACATCAGATAAAGCAGTTATCCAATGTTTAGGGGACATGTTGTATGGAAAATACATGTCTTTAACTGTAAAATCAAAATCTGTAATGGCAGGTTCACATCTTCCATCTTACTCTAGGTTATATGCTGGATAGGTTTTTAATCTTTGTTGCTTTTTTCCTTTTTTTTTAAATTTATTTTTAAAGCATGGCTGGTTTAATTTGAATGTGGTAAACTGAACGATGTAACTCCACTATCTCCTGCATAAAATAGGACAGTTAAAAAAGGTAATATGTATACATATAGATGTGCCTATAATGACTTTTCATTAATTAGGATATTTAAAAGTTACCTACATTTTGAGGGTTAATGTTTCTTCATGTATATATTTGCCAAGTAGGATAAATCAAGAACCATATGCTATCTCATACGAACTTGGGTCAGATTTTACTACTAAATTGGCTTGCTTTAAGCTTTTTTTAGTGTTCAGAATATGGATAAAGTACTATTGACCTTCGAATGTGGTCACACATGGAGTTGTCATGAGGGACAGGGCACCTTTAGCAATACTTGACATAATTATATATGTTAGCTGTTATTTTGGGTTCTGGATTGGAGGTAGTTTTTTCATAGTCCTGTCCGCTAACTTCTTTAATAGTACTTACCTCTTCTTTTTTTAAAAGAAATCAACTTTACTTTTTTGACACCCCGTTCTAATAGTGCATATTATGGCTACTTTTTAAAAATGAAAATCATCCTTCTGCTGAAAAGCCCTCGTCTTGGTTGTAGTAAAATTAAAGTTCTTGTATTTGCTGACAGGGCCATCTGCATCTTATTAATGAGGCCTAGTCTGGTGACCACTCAAAGTGGAAGCCTCTTCTCCTTTCTTTTTCTACAGCATTTATCACCTTTAAGACTGCCATGAAATTAATCTTATAAAATGATTGCTCATTGATTATTTTCCTCTTCTAAAATGAAAGCTCCCTGAGGGCAGGAGTCTTTTTATGTTGTGCTCATCACTAGTACATCTGAAAGAACCAAGAATAATCCTGGGCATCCATTGGTACAACTACTGTGGAACAGTGTAGAGTGTTCCTCAAAAAATTAAGAACTGTCATCTGATCGAGTAATCCTACTTCTGGATATATATCCAAAGAAATTAAAATCAGAATCTTGAGGAGATACCTGCACTCCTATATTCATTGCAGCATTAGTCGCAGTAGCCAAGACATGAAAGCAACCCACGTGTCCATCCACATATGAATGAATAAAGAGAATGCAGTATTTGTTTCCATACCTTAAAAAATAAGGAAACCCTGTCATTTGTGACAACATGGATGAACCTAGAGGACATCATCATAAATAAAGTAAACTAGGCAGGAGCCACAAATGTTACACGATTGCACTTATATCCAGAAAGACTTCATAGAAGCAGAGAATAGAATGGTGGTTACCAGGAATTCTGTAAGGAGGAAACTGAGGTTTTGGTCAAAAGGTATAAACTTTAAATGATGTAAGAGGAGTAAATCCTGGAGATTTACTGTACAGCACAGTACCTATGGTTAGCAAGACTGTATTTTATATTTAGAAATTTGCTAAGAGGTAGGTCTTTTTTTTTTTAAGATTTTTTTATTTTTGGGGGGGGAGAGAGAGAGAGAGTGGTTGGGGGGAGGGCAGAAGGAGAGGAGCAGGAAGCCTGATGCGGTGCTTGATCCCAGGATCATGACCTGAGCCTCAACCAGACACTTAACCACTGAGCCACTCCAAGAGGTAGGTCTTATGTTAAATGTTCTAATCACACAAAAAATAAAGAGAGTGGGGGAAAAAACTTTTGAAGGTGTTGGATATGTTTATGGCATTGACTACGGCAGTAGTTTCATGAGTGTATACTTATTTCCAAACTCATCAAGTTGTAACAGCATTTTGTAAATCAATTATACCTTTAAAAATTGTTGTTGTTCAGTGATAGGCATCTAGAAGGAACTCCTAAGTATTGATTAAATATTTCTTGAGTGTATAGAGAAGCTACACTTTTTTTCCCCTCCCAGAAATTTGCCTTTGAGAATTTTCTGGGGGCGGAGAACATTTAAACCAAGAGAAAACAAAGATCTTCAGTTGTATATATAATAATACATTTTGATATTTTGAATTAGTTGAAAGTAGTTTATCAAATTGATGTGTATATGCCTATGAAAGGTAACATGTAAATATGAGATTTCAAAAAAATAGGGTTTATTATTATGGTCAGGTAATTTATCTTTTGGATATTTGTATATACATTTTTCCATTTGGGTCATAAAAATAATGTTGGTTCAGAGAAGTATATTTATAAGATACTTCTTTCATTCTTAGGAACTAGAGAGACACACATGGTATTTTGGTATCTTAAAATTAGTATGAATCAAACAGACCTTGATAGTTTTTAAGAAGTAATTTGTATGTAATAAAGTATAAATTGTTCATATAAACAATGTTGTAATAAAGTATAGATTTCGTTTTATATAGACATTTTCTAACTGTAGTTTTTGAAGTTTTATTTTTAGGCCACCTATAATAAATGTTTTTAAAATAGTACAAAAATATAATCAAAGACTTATATTAAGAAATGGTATATGCTACCTGTATTCAGATTGAAAGGAGTTGTTATAAATGTTTTTTCCAAAGCAGAATAGGAAACTTTTACGTGATGATTTAAGCAAAGTTTTCCCTGCAAGTCTGTTTACAAGTGTTTGGTTTTATTTTGTGCCTTTATATATCAACACATAATATATATGACTATTTCAATAATCATTTTCATAAGAACAGGAGGAGCTATGTGTTTTGGTTTATTCCTTCTCTTTCTACTGCTCTCTTCCAAATTCACATGTTAGTATTTCATGCTTGTTAGACAGTCGCTTTCTAACTGCTCTTTTTGTCTTTTCATTTTTATTATTCAACCCATTCTACACACCGTAGGACAATAAGCCTTTCTGAAGAAAGTATTATAACTCTGAACAAAGGCCTTTGCCTAACAAGATAAAGGCCAAGTCCTATTTTTATCTGTCTCCTACTTATCCCAGCATCATATTCCATTTGCCTCACCCTCAAAGATGTTAACTGCACATTTCTTATGCTGCCACCCGGGTTTTGTCATCTTTCTCACAGGTGTCCTGTGATCCCTGCTTATTTTCTTTTACCAAAACACTCCCTGGTCTGTGATTTGAATAATCACCCTGAAGTGCCCTCTTCCACTGTCCCTTAGTAGTTGATGAGTACCATTCACACTGCATTTATTTAATTCGTCTCTCCTGCAAGACTGTAAACTTCTAAAGGGAAGGGATCATATCTTGTATAAATCTGTGATTTGTAAAACACCCAGCTCTAAGCCTTACACATAGAAGGTGATAAATCAAAACACTGAGGAGACAGTAACTCCAGGGTATATCCTGGAGCTTTAGAAACAATTAAGAGGGGCAGCCGGGGTGGCTTATGGTTTAGCGCCGCCTTTGGCCCAGGGTGTGATCCTGGAGTACCCAGATGAGTCCCCAGATCAAGCCCCATGTCGGGCTCCCTGCGTGGAGCCTGCTTTTCCCTCTGCCTGTGTCTCTGCCTCTTTCTCTCTGTGTGTCTCTCATGAGTAAATAAATAAAATCCAAAAAAAAGAAAAAAGGAAACAATTAAGAAAAGGATACAAATTCACCTGTATTACACAAGTTCCTTAAGCTTAGGCTGCAACAATTTCTACGTGTGGTTTGTGTGAAGATGAAATGACAGTATGTGTGTTAGCATTTGTAGGTTCCAAAATGTAATCTAAGCATTTGTAATAGTTCTCAAACTGCATTTTGTGGACTATATAAGTTTCTTTGTCTTCATGTAAAATGTATAGAATGTTGTTTTAATGTTCCTCACCTGACTAATGGCAAGATTGATTTAATATGTTAGCTGAATGTTTACTGTAATAAGTCTCTTTACAATTCATCTGAAACAAGAAGGAAAATAGAGATGCTTTTGGTGAAAGTAATAAATTACCTGCGTGGAATCCAACAATTTCAGAGATGAATGAATTTGAAAGTTTTGTTAACAACTTTCCAAAATTGATCCTTAATTCATCATATTGAATTACATGGAGTAAAATACATTTTTTGAAGGGCATCATCTCACAGATTTCCATAAATTTCTCAGAGGTGACCCCATCCCTGTCAATTCTATTTCCTAAGAGTATTTAAAATTAAATAGCTTACCTGGCTAGTGGACATTCTATATGAGACTGAAATCGGGATGATGAATTTTTTTTTTTTTAATTGGGGTAGGGTATAGTTCTGGTGCTAAGAACAGCATCTAGAAATGGAATAAGTTTCTGATTTTCAGAGATTTTTTTTTCTCTCCAAAACAAAATCTAGGTATCATGTATATCTGGGATATAGCTGTGAATTAGTTGAAAGAGAGATAGGGTTGAGGTTCAGGTAGGAAATAGTATTATAGGACCAGCATCTTGAACCATGAATACAATCATTATCTGTAG